TAGCTGGATGCTCAGCTAGCATCCCCTACTGACAGCCCCTTCAACCCGGTGTTATCTGCCTCTTCTCATTAGCTCTTCAGCCAGGTCATTTAGAGTCACCCCCATACCACAGGAGCACAAAATCCAAATGAACAATAATCCCCATGTCCTTAAACCAGGTCCGAGCTCAGTAATCCTTCAACCACTGGTCTGCAGAATCTTCACACCACCATTTTTCCAGCTGGGGACCCAGCTCAGGGACTTTGCATTTAGCATGCAAGGTCTGTCTACTCAGACCCCCTGCTTCCTCCTTGTGGGACTTCCTACCTCAGCCATTTGTCCACCTTCCCAACAGCCCCCTTTCCAGGCTCACTGTGTAGCAACACTCCTGTCAAACTCCCTAAGGTCTCAGCCTTCATCCTTCCTTCAGGGCTACAACTTAAAGGATTCCCGCTGGAGTTCTCAAATAAGTCCCCAACCAAAAGTGTAAACTTAAATAACTTCTGCCCTCCCCAGATTTGAACTTTAACCCTTCCCAAGTACTCTGTCCCTTAGCTGAACATCAGCATCCCAGGACTGCCTCCCCAGAATCTTGCTCTTATTTTGAGACCCACCACAAGAGCTAACTCCCCTCCTCTGGCTTTTTCCTCAATTCACTTGATTGCTATCAGACCATCTGCAGAGAGCAGAGACACCCAACCTTCCCCTTTCCTGTGTCTCTCCCTTATGCTCATCACTTGACCCAGCTCCTCCACAGTGGGCTTCATGTTCAAATAGGACTGGCGCACCCTCCAGGTGCACTAACTGCTCTCTGTCTCCAGTTTACTCTATGTAGGGCATGTACATACAAGGATAGATATCAAAAGCTAAAGACTCTAGGTCACCTAGTCTATCCTACTCTAAATGCATGATTTCTCCTTGCAGTACATTTTTCAGTGTTTTCTCCAGTCTAGATTTAGATGTCCCACATGATGAGGCTTCTTCTACCCCTTTCCTTGGGAGATAGTTTCAGTGAGATCTATTAGGCTGGGGAACAAAGTTTTCCCTTTCTTAATTTCATCACAACTTCTGTCAGAGTTTCAACCACACTAAATAACTCTTCTCCTTCCTTGGTATTGCTAACTCCAAGCTTTCAAAAATGAGTCAGGTCCCCCCAAAATCATGAGATTGGTTTAAAAATCAAGAGACCTTAAAAAAAATTGGGATCCTTTTTATTTCTGTTTTTTGAGCCTTTCTGGTATACATTTCCAAGCTTTTCTCTACAACCACAAGGACTAAAAAACTGCTTAAAAAAAGAATGCTGTGATTCTCACTAAATAAAACGACCATAGGAGCCAGGGCTTTAAGAAAACACCAAATAACGCAAGACTCTCAATAATATTACAAGAGCTGGCAACACTGTATCTACAACTGTTATATGTCTCTAGACGGTTAGCATTTCCCCCATTTGTCTTTGCTTAACCAAGCCATATATATTTAGCTTTTTAACTTTCTCTTTTAGTTACCCATTGGGGAAAATTTTGAGCCATGGGTGCAATGTATGTGCTTTCAAAACCCAGCATTGGCATACACAAGAGCACATTTTGGCTAACGGAGCACTTAACTATCTCTGTGCATGGAACTTTTCAATTTTCATATGCAAATACCATGTTGCATGCACAGAGATGTTTTCATATGCATTTTTGTGAGATTAGGCACTGGAGCCCAGGTGAAAAATTAGGCCCTTTATATCTTGTAACTAGGGCCCCAGTCTAGAACTCTTTGAGTGTAACAGAAGGACTCTGACTTGAGTGGGCTCATTTTTATTTAATACTAAAATCAATATGATTCTATTGTAGTTGTACTAAGACAAACTTCCCTATTTTGAGCCTCTGCTATTTTGGCCAGGAGAAGGAATTGAAAGTTGTTATTCCACAGTTTATAGATTGAGAGCTTCGCACAATCTTAAACTTGCATTTCGCACTAGATATTTTCAGCTTTGAACATGAACAATTAGCAATGTCTAAGGCATCAGTGTTGGAATTCAGCTGGCAGAAGACCTAATAGGGACAAAATAGGCCAACTTCATTTAGTCTGATTACCCACAAAAGGACTTAGGCATTGCAATGCTGAGCATCACAGCACCTAACTTTTAGGCACCTAGAAAATCACAGAAACAACTATAGGATCCACAAAACCCAGTTAGGCACCTAGGCTCCTAGCCAATAAATGGGGAGCGATAGGCATCTAAGAACATAATCCAAAAAAGCCAGCAGAATAGGTGGGGAGCTGCTTAAATTAGCCCCTGGGAGATGCAGATGAGACAGGTGCCCAAGCCTGGGCTGCGGTGAGATATGTAGCTCTGCATAGCCATCCACGAACAGAAACCAGTCACCTGGAGTCAGATTAAATCATTTGTTGTGGGACCCAGTTAGGTATTCCACATAGAAGGAGGAGGAGGTGCTGCCACCCAACTTATACTTTTAGCCCAGTGATTAGAGCAGTCATCTGAGATGGACCCTGATTCAATTCCCTCCACTCTGCCAGAAGAGGAGAAAGGATCTGAACAGGAGAGTGCGCTGACCACTGAGCCAGGGAGCATTCTGATGCATGGCTCTCTCAGTCTCTGATGTTGATGTTGTTGCATGGTGGATAACTAATAAAAGAGTCATTGGAGCAGGGAGACTGGATCCCAGGTCTCCCACATGTGCCCTAACTAGGGTGACCAGGTGTCCGGTTTTCAACTGGAACACCTGGCTGAAAAGGGATCCTGGCAGATCCAGTCAGCACCGCTCACCAGGCCGTTGACTGTCTGGTTACCAGTGCCGCACAGGGGGGTTGGCAGGCTCCCTGCTAGCCTCCGTGACACACGGCTCCCAGGAAGCAGCTGGCATGTCCCCACTCTGGCTCCTACGCATGGGACAGCCAGGGGGCTCTGCATGCTGCCCCCTGCCCCAAGCCACCCCCCCGCAACTCCCATTGACCAGCCAATGGGCACTGGGGGGGGGGGGGCACCTGCAGATGGGACAGCATGCAGAGCCGCCTGGATGCACCTCCATATAGGAGCCAGAGGGGGGGCATGCCACTGCTTCTGGGAGCTGCTTGAGGTAAGCACCACCCGGAGCCTGAACCCCTGACCCCTCCCACCCTCCAAACCCCTTGATCCCAGTCCAGAGCACCCTCCTGCACCCCAAACCCCTCATCTCCAGCCCCACCCCAGAGCCCGCACCTCCAGCCGAGCCCTCACTCCCCTGGCCCAGCCCTTATCCCCCTTGTGCCCTCCAAACCCCTCAGTCCCAGCCCAGAGCAACCTCCTACACCCCAAACTTCTCATCCCTATCCCCAGCCAGAGCCCTCACATCCCCTGCCCAGAGCCCTCTCCTGCACCCTGAACCCCTAATTTCTGGCCCCATCCTGGAACCTGCACCCCCAGCTCAGAGTCCATACATCCTCCCACATCCCAACCCCCTGCCTCAGCCCAGAGCCCCGCCCATACTCTGAACACCTCAACTTCACCCCCAGCTTCCTCCTGCACCCCAAACCCCTCATCCCTTGCACCACCCCAGAGCCTGCACCCCCAGCCGGAGCCCTCACCCCCTCTCGCATCTCAACCCACTGCCTCCTGCACTCTGAACTCTTCATTTCTGGCCCCAGCCCAGAGCCTGCACCCCCAGCCAGAGCCCTCACTCCCTCCCCACCCCAGCCTGGTGAAAATGAGTGAGTGAATGAAGGTGGGGAGAGTGAGTGACAGAGGGGGGGAAATGGAGTGAGCAGTGGCGGGGCTTTGGAGAAGGAGCAGGGCATGGGGCAGGGCAAGTGTGTTTGGTTTTGTGTGAGTAGAAAGTTGGCAACCCTAGACCTAACCACTGGATTACAGAGTCATTCTCACTCACTCTCTCTAACCGTTTGAGGATAAATATAACTGTCATTGGGCCAGAGGTAGAGAAAGCAAGAGCATACAAGAGTGTAAGAATGAATCTGTAGTCCAGTGATTGATGCATATTCAAGTATATTTATCAGCTTGTTCTGATTTGTTGGTTTCTCCATAGCTGGAAGTAGAGATGGCAACCGTTTGCAGCTGAAGCACACAACCCCAGAAACTGCCTTACAATGAAAGGAAAATGAGGGAGTATCCCTCCCTATGAATGAGACTTGGCAGTTCTGTTTATTTTACCACAGAAAAGAACCGTCTGAGGTAAAGCTCTGTTGTTCCATAGGCTGCTCTGTGTTATTGTTTGCTTATCTGGTAATGTTAGAAAGAAATCAAAGGGCATAAGGAAAGGGTGCAATTCATGCTGTCTAGAGGAGTCCCTTCCGCTCTCTATTTAGTTGGCAGCACAGCCAAGGGGGTGTATGGGGGAGGGGAAGGAAAGTGCTTCTATTTGTTCACTTTCTTTCTGCTGTCTTTGCCCCTGTTATGCTCTGTGGGCTCCAAGTAAGTCAGACTTCTCCAGGCCTTCACCCCACATTGAATGGTGCAGAAAGAAAGTTTGTAAATGGCTAAAGTGTGGGGATGTAATTATTGCTTTTATATTTCACTGAACTGAGGGATCAAGCTGGAAATCTAATGTGAGTACAACTTTTATTTTTAATATGGTTAAGCTTTAGAAGTTGGATACATTGCTCTGCTGCCCCTTAAGGCATTGTCTACACTGGAAAAATGCAAACCTGTATTCCAGCACCAATGCAGCTGCACCAGTGCTAGCAATCATGTAAGCACTAGTGTGATCTAGGTGCTGGCATTTTTACCGCTTTATAATGAAAACTTGTTGTGACCAGGGTAGTAAAAACACCCGTGCCTTGTCTGCATAGAACTCAGCACTAGTTGAACTGCACATTGCCAGAATAAGGGTATACATTTTTCTGGTGCAGTGCAGACACACTCTTAATTTAAAGATGTGAAAATGAAGCAGAACTGAGCAGAAGGAGAGGGACAATAGGGCAAAAAGAAGGGATTAAGAAACCAGGCAATTTTGAAATACCTTGGAAAGATAATGGGGATTGGAAACTACTGCAGGCTGAAAAGAGTAATAATGCTTAATGTCTTGGTGGATTAGTTGTTGGAAATGAATCCTGGGTAACAACAAGGCTTAAGGAGGCTGCTGTCTCTTTAAATGGAACGAGCTTGCAAGATGCACCGAAACAGGAAGCGTTTGTTAAAAGCAAACAATGAAGGATCGGAGAAGTGGGAGAGCATTCAATATAGCAACAAACAGGACAGTGTAGCTTCTCCTTTTGGTACTTTCTTCAGCTTTTACTGTATGACACAACTTTTACTTAGAAGGTTTATCGTGGTGAAGTCCCCTTTCCTAAGAACAAACCATCAGAAAAAAAGAGGGGAAACCAAAAAAGGGGGAACTTTCTATACTAAAGCAGACATTGCTGGAATCTGGTGAGTGGAAAAAAAAATCCTATTTTTAACAACTTTGAATTAAGGAGATATTAGAGTGGGTTCTCAATAAACAGAAGTTAGCAATAAAATATTGATGAGTGTGCAGCAATTACAAACTTAAAAACCCAGATGAGGATATGCATAAGCAATGCAGTTTTTAACCTTAAAACACTATATTTGTTAGTACTGGGTGTTATGTTTGATTTTCTCTCTGACTCCATAGAGCTATGTGTTAATGGCTAACGATTACGTTATTTGTATGAAAAATTGAAATTTCAAATCTCCAAAGGTTTCAGGGTAGCAGCCCTGTTAGTCTGTATCCGCAAAAAGAACAGGAGTACTTGTGGCACCTTAGAGACTAACAAATTTATTAGAGCATAAACTTTCATGGACTACAGCCCACTTCTTCAGATGCATCCAAAG